GAGCGAACAGGGAGTAACTCGTAGGCTTTCCCAGTAAGCCAGTTTAAATGTCCAACCGACTACAGTCCTTTAAGTATAGAAATGATTTCATTTTCCGCATTCCTAAAATGCATTCCATGGATGCGTCGCATAATGCACGCGGTTTCTGTATGTATGTATGTACGACTGTGCGGTGAATAGAGCGCTGTGCTTCATTTTAGGAGCTGTCCTTGCAAGTGCCTTAAATTCGTTCGCTACTCTTGCTGCTGTCAAGCGCATTGTTTATTTTACATTTGCGCAGCTGATGCACTGCTACTCGTACCTCTCCTGCTTCCTCCAACCCCCACCAACAGCGCCACCGGACTGCAAGCTTCCCAACCTGACAACAACTATTGAAATGATTTGGTTTCGTCTCTCGACTCAACTCGACTCGACTCGACTTCCACTTGATGCGATTCATAGCATGACGAGTTGGTTGCAATGCCGCACCGTACTGCTCATACTGCAAGCGCCGCGCTGGCTGATTGAGGCAGTTGGAAGAGTTATTATTCACAGTTGTCAATGTACATAGCTATGCACATATATTCATGTAAACGGTAGACCGAGATACTCCTACAGCGCCAGTTGCCGTCGCATGTGTGCGTGGCAACAGACATTTGGAGCACTTTATCACTGATACGGTGGCAGTGTTTGTGACTGCAACGACGTAGACAAGCTGAGGTTCTGCTACTTTAGTTAAATGCACACGATCAAATACGTAAATACCTATGTATCTATGTATGTACATTTAGTATATGTTTGTGCATGGATAAGGACACACAAGGACTCTATTTGCTTCCATGTTCATACTTACCGCCGCACTTGTAGTTGTTTGTACAAGCCCTTAACGTAGATAAATACAGGCGAGCATAGGAAAATACCGAATTACTAGTTTCGCTTTAGTGGAAAGCGAATAGTCAATAGGAATTTTATGCATCTACAAAAAAAAATTGATATTGGAACGCACTTAAAGGGATTGAATTTTCATTTAAAAATGTTGCTCTCAATAGAACTTCGAACGTTGGCATGACCTTAGGACATTAGGCCCACACACACAATTTGCGATTATTGCTAATACCGAAATAAATCGAGATCGGATTTAAATGGGCCCAAAATTGAGTAAATTATACTTCAGAAAGGTTCTTAAAATATTCCTTGGCAAATTATTATCAAAGTCTTTAGAACTTAAGAATCAATTCTACCCTTTCGCTGTTCCTTCAATTGACTCAATCATAGCGGAGGCTGTTAACAAGCCAAGATAGTCTATTCCTATCTATTCCAGAAATTCTCGTCTTTAAAGAAGTGTTATCAGATTAATTTATTGACATCGAGGAAAATGCGAAAGCTTCAGCTCCGCAAAACTTGGTTGGATGCGATAGGCGAGTGGTTAGCATTACCTACTGGCATACGGAAGGCAATGGTTCGAGTCTAGATCCGACCAAAATCCAAAAGTTGTGCAAAACTACTTTAAATAAGAAATTTAAGTTAATTATTTTTTAATTGCGATCGCCATCGGCAAGGTATGTCAACCCTTCCGTTTGTATTTCTGGTATTAAATAAAGTCTCCTCATTAAAAACCGTCAGTCGTTTGGAGCCGCCTAAGTATAAACTAAAGGTTCCTTCATTTACTGGAAAAGATCAGTTCGCACACCACAAATAGAAGAAAGAGGAAAAGTCAAAATTATACAACGCAAAGCGTATTAAACTTTTCTATAGGATCCCAGACCCAATTGAATGCAGCGTAATCCAGATTTGAATTTTCATTCATACGGAGTATAGAGTTTTTAAACTGTAGGGATCATAAAAGCCTTCCTTGTTCTACGAGCATGGAATACATTATGCAGAGTTCTGAATCAAAGTGGACTTCAAAGTCGTTTACTTTGTTAATGGATTTCAAGTCTAAGTCTAATATATGAGAATTACACAAAGGTAGTTTTGGGCTGCGTAACGTTAAAGAAAGAACACTGAGTCTAGGATGTTACCTTGAAGCATACGAAATTTCAGAGAAAATACCTACATTAACAGAGAGTTTTCTCTACTTACAAAAATAATTAAGACAAATATCGTGTTATAGTTCTGAAACAGTGGTAAGTTTGGATATGGGGTCTGTAATTCAACATATGATTTCTATTATGCCCTATAAAAATTTGGAGTAACTGATGTTAAATTCCAATCACCAATATTGATAACAAGGGCATGGGTTTCATTAGTAATTGTCTTTAGTGGAGTAAATCACGATGAGCAATTTCTGAAAAGGGGGAAAATTCTAACTTAATCTGTTTATGTAGGATTTTTTAAATCTTCCATACCCTGAATCATTTCTTCACTTTTGGAAAAGCGTTTCCCAATATTCCCCATCTGTCACATGGTTTTCAACGACGAAACGAGAATGAAACGGAAGAGTCAATTTTTAATTGGTCATAAAAAAGGAGTGTGGCTCCATTTTCTATCGCCTGTGTTGAGTCGCTTCGAAAGTTATAGGGTTTCATTGTTGGTAATACGGTCAATCAAATTATTTTTAGTAATTCATTTGTCATTCTAACATAGAGCTTTTTTCAATAGGCAGCTTTTTTCTATTATTCCAAACCTCACTGCAGCATCTCATGAGCTTTTTGAGTAACTGGTCGATCACAACGAGGATCAACTTTGGCGTCGAACTCATAGGTCTGCCGCTTACTTACAGAATTCTCGCCATAAACCATTCACATTTATCGACACGATTTTGCAGCGTTTTATTTTTTTTTTGCAGTGAAAGAGTAATGTGATGTAATTTAAAATTGTGTGCTTGACACATGCCCCTTTACGAAGGGTTTGAAGTTTCGAAATGAGTTCTGTTTGCAAAATACTGTTGCTCTCAGTTTAGACAATTTACTCAGATTCGTCAGTTAAGTACTGCGAAGGTCAGAACCTTTGATCGTGAGGGGTATGAGAACCCGAAAAGCTGACACAAAGTTCAGAAAGGAACTATTATTAATGACCGATTCTGCAGTTGAGACCGATTTTTTTTAATGATTTGGACACCTAGCAAAATTTAAGGTCCTAGAAAGTAAGAGTAAGATGGAATTTTGAATGAAATTTTTGAAAGTTGATGCATTTGTTTAAAATATTAGTCTATGATTTTAATATTTTAGTTGGAGGAGGAGGACAAGTTGTCACATGTTGGCAAGGTTTTCTTCCAGGTCCTTTCAGTTTTATAACTTTAGACCTCATTCTAAAATAACTCTACAAACATACTCCTATGAAAGCTTGTGTGGTGAAATGTCGTTGCTGTGTACATAAATTTAAACGCTTGGGTAAGTGCTGTACAGTATGCCATTATATATAGGTATGTGTGTATGTTGGGATATCTATGATTACATGCCATTTGTGCGTATGTTTTAAAAAGTTTTACGCTCGTCACGAGCAAAATTTATTGCACTCCAGAGTCCAGAATAAGCTTTTTCCTTTCTTGCTTTTCTTTTGCTCTCGGTATACATACATACATATGTACATACGAGTATGTACATATGTATTTACAGAGACGAATATGTATTTCGGCTTGATATTTGGTCCAACCGATGGAAACTGATGTGATTTATCTTGTTAAATCAGCGAAATTTTCTTTGTTGTTTTTATTATTGGTATTGCATGTGTACTCGTACTTGCTTTTGTATTAAGTTTTGAATTGTATTTGAAAACAAGGGGAAACACTTTGAAAATCCACCGGCCACAAGAGGGTTAGCACACATACATATAGTACGTACATACATACATACATACATATGTATATACAATCAAATTGAAGCTCTGGCGACATAAATGCAAAGGTGTATGTATGTGTATGTATGTGCATATGTATGTATGTGAGAGAGACTTTACAACTGTGATAATTGCGGATTTGTATTGTGAACAATCATAGCCATAGCGTGATTTCATTTGAAATTATTTTGCCATCCTTTCCAAATTGTTACCCGATTAGCATGACAAACACGTACAATACAACCACCGCCGACCCGAGAGAGGAGAATCCGGTCTATATGTTTACAATGTGAGCGCACCGGTCGGCTATAAAAAGTACACAATAACACATTTTACTCACACATACACATATTGTATTACATGGTTCATATGTATGTATGTATGTATGTATATTTAGGTAGAAGTGGTATAAATGTGATTGCGAATGTTCTGAAGTGTAAAGGAAGTTTCTATCCAAATTTACATATTTATAAAAAGCCATTTAAACTTTGACATAAGTCCATATGTATGTATGTACGTACGTATGAATGGCAAATGTATATACATATGTATGTGTGTATGCAAGCATGCTTGCATTTTCAAAGTTTATTTAAAGTACATAAATACATACATATTTATACATACACGTACATAGAGATGTAAGCACGTAACGACGGGCGGTGAGAGGGTTGAAAATCACTTCTCAAAATTGGATATTTCACTGGCCAATCACTCGATCGGAAAATCGTATATTTATGTAAATAAACTCATTTAAATAACAATAGAACACGTTGAAGCACTTTTTGAAATTGAAGAAAATACAATTTATTCTTTATTTAATTAGTCTATGACTTCTAAAGTTATGCAAAAGTACTGTTATATCTCATGCGAACACGTACATAATTCTATTATGAGCCTCAGTGGAAACTTACAACTTGCATCGAGACAACAATAAGGAAATCTGCATGCCTGACTAACCCCTTAATTTATTCAAACTACAAATACATACATATGTATGTACATATGTATATAACTGTACATATTTCTACCATTACGTATTCCAACAAATTCTTAAAATATTTTCAGCAATTTCGGGCTGCCTGCTATGCAACTGAAATATAAGTAAAATCATTGAAATTTCTTTTAAAAATGGTTCAAAACTATTCCATTCCGAAGTATTTTGAAATGCGTACAAATCATCATTGATCATAATTATTTTTAATTATATGTAATTGTAAATATTTTTTTCTTTTTTTTACAGAAATACGCCAAAACTCTCAATGGATTAATAAAAATGTGCATTGAAAATTCATTAGAATTGCGGTGAATTCGGATAAAATATCAGTTTTTGTGAGTAAGTACTCATTTTCAGTAAATTCAATCACTATTACGAATTTATTTCAGTTTTCGCACAAAGATTGTGCAGGAAAAAAAAATTCCAACTGTTAATAGTTTCCTGCTGCTTCAAAAATTGCAATTTATATTTTCAGTCTAATCAAAAATTATTTTAAAATTTATACACAAAAAGATATTATAACTATAAATGTATACAAATATGTATATACATCTATACATCAAGTGAGGAAAGTTTTTGACTGCCATTCACCTGGGAGTAGCAGGAATGATTCTTTCGCATATGGTTGAAGTAGCTCACGACTTCTGGTCTTAGACCAAGAATCCCCAATAAATATCCATTTGGAGGCGAGCTAAAATGAAATGGCGAGTCCCATGCGGTTGTGAGCAGGGTTTGAAACCCACCACATTAAAACCTTAACCCAATGAAAAATCAAAATAAGCCTCGGATGAGTCACCCTCTTTTGATGATGACCCCGGAATTGTTTTAAGGATTACGATTTGATAGCATGCATCTGGAATGTCCGTTCTCTGAATTGGGTGGGTGTCGCTGCCCAGCTAGTTTATGACCTCGTAAGAATAAAGGCTGACATCACTGCCGTCCAAGAAGTGCGATGGACGGGACAAGGACGAAAGCGAGTAGGTACTTGTGATATTTACTACAGCGGCCATATAAAGCAGCGCAAATTTGGTGTCGGATTTGTGGTGGGAGAGAGACTCCGTTGTCGATTGGATGAGCGTCTCACTACAATCCGAATCAAAACTAAAACTAAACGTCGCTGACTTGCGCCCACGCCCCTACGGTAGAGAAGGACGATGTGACTAAACAAGCCTTTACGAGCGCCTAAAGCACTGCGTGGCGCTGTCTCCGCCACTACGTCAAAATTGTGCTTGGCCACTTCGATGCTAGGGTGGGCAAAGCAGGTATTTTTGGAACAACAGTCGGAAAATTCAGCCTCCACAACGAAACATTCCCAAATAGACTGAGGCTGATCGACTTCGCCACGAAAAAATTCACCAAGAAACTTGGCTGCTTCCAGATGGAAAAACTCTCAGCCAAATCGATCATGTTGTGATTGACGGAAGACGTGTCTCCAGTATTTTAGACGTGTACGTTCCGTCATCCGACTATGAAGAAGTCCGAATAGCAATCGCCCGCTTAAAGAACAACAAAGCGGCGGGGAACGATGATTTACTAGCCGAGCTATTCAAATACGGCAAGGAAGAATTGATCAGGTGCATGCATCAGATTCTTTTCAAAATATGAACGGATGGAGGCATGCCCGACGATTGGCGCTGAGTCTTGGAGAAAAAGAAAAGTGGATCAACACACAGAATCTTTATGTCGATTTTCAAGGGGCCTTCGACAGCACGAGGAGCTGTCTCTACGCCGCTTCCTTTGAATTTGGTATTACCGCAAAGCTTATACGGCGGTGTCAGCTGACCTTAAGCACAACTAAAGACTCCGTCAGAATCCGGAAAGACCACTCCGGGCCGTACGATACCGAACAGACAGGGTGATTCCTTATCGTGTGACTTTCTTATGCTGGAGAAAATAATACGAACTGCAGAGCTGAATAGAGAAGGTCCAATCTTTTAGAAGAGAGCTGTAGCTGCTGGCGTACGCCGATGATATCAACTTATTGGGTTCAACAGTCGCGTCGTTTTTTTTCTCCAGGCTTGATAAAGTAGCCAAGCGAATGGATCTGGTAGTGAACGAGGACAAGACGAAATATCTCCTGTTATCAAACAAACAGTCATCGCATTCGCGACTTGTCTCCCACTTCACTGTTGACAGTCATAACTACGAAGTCGTAGATAACTTCATCTATCGTGGAACCATTATTGACACTATCAACAATGTCAGACTTGAAATCCTTGAGAAGTAAAATTCTCTTTCGGCGAACGAAAACCAAACTCTGCAAGTCGTTCATCACACCAGTCCTCTATATGGCGCGGAGGCGTGGGCGATGACAACAACTGATGAGTTGGCGTTAGGAGTTTTCAAGAGAAGTGTTTAGCGTAAGATTTATGGTCCTTTGCACTTTGGTGACGGCGAATATCGCTGGCGATGGAGCGATGAGCTGTACGAGCTATGTGATGATATTGACATGGTATAGCGAATGAAGAGACAGAGGAAGAGGAAGACCTCCACTCCGTTGGAAAGAACAGGTATAGAGGGACTATAGGAGAGGGCCTCGCACCGAACAGCGAAAAGAAGAAAGGAATTGCGCAATGCTGTTAACTCGGCTATAACCGCGTAAGTGGTGGCTACGCCAATAAAGAAAAGAAAAAGATCCTCAAGTGAACTACACTATTCACACCGTGAATATAATGCTTTTATACTACTGAAAAAATATTTTTTAGTTTGACCTTCAAAATGGTTTTCTACGGCCGTTTTTATCTCACTGTCGCCTGAAAATCTCCGTCCCCGTAACTCCTTTTTTAAAAAAAAAAGAAAAAAAATATAAAATACACTCCGCGCGCTTACTTGACATGTCTCTTCTGTATGACTGCTGTCACGCGCCTGACTCACCGTAAAACTGTCCGTTTATTTTGGTCTCCTTTGGCATGTAATCAATTAACAATACTCCCTCGCTATCGTAAAAATGGTAGCCACATTCTTGGACGTAGACATTTCCCCTTGCATTTTATTGGGATACCGAATCTTCTTTGGACTCTGGATCATACTAACCAATCCAAGTTTCAACTGTTGCATTGAGGTTTCATCCAAATCATCGAATGTTCATACGAAATCTCTCCAGTCCGTTCTGTGATAATCTGTAATCCTTCTGCTCTCTGCCACAATTTAATTCTTCGATCAGCCAGTACTAATTCACCGACTTTCTGAACATTTTCTTCGGTCATGACCGCCACAGGGCGCAACGGGCGGGGCCAAAAGTATTAGGCCCCCACTAATTACTGTAGACTGTTCAGGCCAATCTAAGAAAAACATTGTTGTTATCTATATACCAACGTCGCTGATTTGTGACAAGGAGTATTGTCTTGCTGAAATTGAACCCCGTCTAAATGAGTATCGCCGAAAATGCGCGTTAACGAAGGCAGAAGAATAGTTTCTAATACATTTATGTACTCGTACTTTTGGCTGTCCGTGCGACCCTCGCAAACGAATGTTTCGCAGACACCTTCAGCGGCCACGCAGCCCCATATCATAATGAGACCTCCTCCGTGCTTAACAGTGGGTACCACGCAATCCGTCACACCAGGTGTTCCAAATATCCGTAGAAAAGAATAAATAATGTTCTCATAAGATTTGTACTATATCTTCAAAATTGTTCTTAGGTAAGATGCTAAGGCTGTTAATACTTTAACGATCTTAACTAACGTCTTAATTAACGATATTAACTAAGCTTACCTCGAAGTTTGATTCATCAGACCACAGAACATTCGACCAATCTTCTTCCGTGAAATGTTGGTATCGGCGAGCCCATTCCAAACGATTTTTCCTATTCTTTTATGAGAACCACGGCTTCTTTCGGGCTTTACATCCTTTTAAACCTGCTTACAGAAATCTTCTTTTAGCTTTTCGAGCACTAACTGGTTTACTAAATTTAGCAGAAAGAGCGGTGATAAGGGCAGAATAAGTATTCGTTGTTCTCGTTTACTGGTTAGACGCTCTCTTCCACTTTTTGACTTATTATTGTGGGATTTCGTCTCTAACTGGCCTGATAGCACATTGGACCGCGCACGCGAACTTCCCACCAAATTGGCAATCTCTACCTGAGACTTACCTTCTTTACTTCAAACTTGAATACTAACGGCAGGTGAGGCCTCGAATGTGCTATCAAAGATACTTTTATACCATTCATGAAGAAGAAATGGTATCTTAACTTTGGTGCGAAGTAACAATTTATTCTCCCATGCTCTCAGTAAACATGAGCATAAAAATACCTGATCACTGCAGCGTTTTCTAGGCGGAATCCTTCGCAATCATGGAGGCTGCGGAGTGGTTGCACCAATATACGGCAGCAGGACAATCGGTTACGATTTACTCCGATAGTCAGGCTGCCATCAGATTTCTATAATGTAACAGTACCATGTCAAAAGTGGCCATAAACTTTAGAAACACACTCAAAAAACTCTCGACGAAGTAGAGTACTGTCGTAGTCTGTTTACCTGGACACAGGAACATCCCAGGCAATTGCATGGCAGGGAAAGAACCCTTCTATCCACGGTAACTCACACACGATACTGGTTTACCTGTGTCCACGGCTAAGGAGGAAGCGACCATCGAGCACTGACATGTTCTTGGGAAACACTTCTTCGACTGTCGCGCTGAGTTGGCTTTAGCGAACATTGAAAATCTCGTTGCCCTTAAAAGGCACAGGAAATGATTTCATCATTCGAAAAGGTGAAGGCAGGAACCTCAGTGGTATCATAATCACAATGGCCTAAGTGTACTGGGGTTGACCGCTGGCAGCCGCATCGGCTCAACTAAACTCCAGTAAGTACTAGATGGAGAAGATATGGCCCCATCGAGATCTATGCCGATCGGATCAGATAAAAATGAGGAGTTGAGTTTATTTAAGCGATCTGAGATTTTGGGTTGAAAATTCGTTCAAAAAGCACCTGAGGGCGTGAATTTTGATACTCTATGCAGGTACGTGTACATATGTACAGGCACCTCCTTGGCAGGTTGAGATTCCCCGCCATCTGAGTGTATTTCTGATATGAATCAAAAATCTCATAAAAATCTATCGACCTTCTACTTGTTAGAAAAAACATCAACGTGCATACGACAAATTGGAGGTTACAAACCGCCAGTTATATATAATACATATTTATATATGTAAATACATATATAAATTTATTGTTATTGCCAGAAATTATGATAAAATTGTAGCAAAGGCAATAATAATGGGAGAAATTTCAAAATAAAACTTTATAATTCATTTGTATGTATGTATGCATGTATGTGCGCAGAAAAATACATAAATTTCTGTATCAAAAATATCTATGTAAGCTGTACATGTGTGTAAA